GGCACATCCAGGTGGTGCCCAGCAGCTGCTCCTGCTGCCTTTGGGGCTTTTCCCTGGATTTGTGTCCCTGAATCCTGCCCTTGCTGCTCCAAGGCGGCTGTTCTGGCCAGGATGTGTGGGATCAGGAGGTGGCTCGGGATTTGGAGATGTCACTGTCACCCGTGGGGGTTGGACTCATCCTTGTCCTGATTATAGAGGGGCTGGCCTTCCCAATTTTGGGGATCCAGGCTCTTCCCTTGGAATTCATTCCCCCCCTTTTCCACAGGGCTGATTTCCTCATGTTTTGGAGATCCAGGCTCTTCCTGAGGATTCATTCCCCATTTCCATGCAGATGATCTCCTCACATTTTGGGGATCCAGGATTTTCTGTCAGGATTCATTCCCTCCTTTTGATGGGGATGATCTTCTCACATTTTGGTGATCCAGGCCCTTCCCTTGGGGTTAATTCCCTCCTTTCATAGGTCTGATTTCACATTTTGGGGATCCAGGTCAGATTCCTCTGCTCCAAAATGCTGCTGATCCCTGTTTAGGGATCTTAAAACTCCTTCCAGCTGGGAGGGATGAGGAGCCCAGGATGCTCTTCCCACAGCCCCACTGTGTTTGGAGTGTCAGGTGCTGGGGGAGACTGGGACACTGGGAAAGGATCCTTGTTCTCTTCCCTGTCCCTGCTTTTGCACCTCTCTGCTTCTTCAGCCTTTGGATCTGTCTGATCCTTGTCCTGTTCCCAGTGTCTGATTCCTGTTCCCCTTCCCAGTGTCTGATTCCTCTTCCCCTTCCCAGTGTCTGATCCCTGTTCCCTTTCCCAGTGTCTGATCGCTGTTCCCTTCCCCAGTGTCTGATCCCTCTCCCATTCCCAGTGTCTGATCCCTGTTCCCTTTCCCAGTGTCTGATCCCTGTTCCCATTCCCAGTGTCTGATCCCTGTTCCCTTCCCCAGTGTCTGATCCCTGTCCCTTTCCCAGTGTCTGATCCCTCTCCCATTCCCAGTGTCTGATCCCTGTCCTGTTCCCAGTGTCTGATCCCTGTTCCCTTCCCCAGTGTCTGATCCCTGTTCCCTTTTCCCGTGTCCCCTTCCCCTCTGGATCCCTGCACACAATTCCCTCCTCCCAGGCCCCATTCCCATCCCCATGGGAGTTCTCTCCCACAAGGAGCCAGGCACAAATTTGGAATATTTAATGTACAGTTTAGCTGCAAACTGGCAGCCTCTTAGGAATGTTGTTTCCAGGTCCTGGCAGAGTTTTCCAGCCTGGCTTGGGGGGAGGGCTGGGAATTCTGTGCAGGGAAAAAGGCACTTCCCAAGCTCCTGAATTTTTAATGGCTGCCCCACATGACAAAGTGCTGCTTGTAAATCCATCCATTATCCCTTATTTTCTCATCCATAATTAAATAGCTGAATCCTGTTCTCAGCCAACAAACAGGGAATTTGCAGGGATGCTTCCTGCCAGCCCCTGGAGCAGCTCCTTCCTCCTCAGGCTGATGCTGGGTGGTGACAGGGCCCCTTTGGGGATGGTTTTCCATGGCTGCAGCCAGAGAAATCCCTCTTGGAAGTGGCTGAAGGTGTTCCCAAGGCTCTGCCCTTCTCCCAAATCCCATTCCCACTGTTCCTGGTTTCTGCCTCCAATCCTGGCCTGGGGCTGCTCTCGGATTTCGGTTTTGGTGGATTTTCCCTGCTCCAGGAGCAGCCCTGGCTCAGCTGTGTCCAGCCAAGGCAGCTCAGGGCGCTGCCACATTCCTGTCACTGCTGTGCCATGGGAATGGGAATTGGGCACTCCTCGTGTCCCCGGGATTGGGGCTTGGGTGGGAATTCATGAATGAGCTGGATGGTGACAAATTCCAGTGCTCCCATTCCAGATTTAGAGAATCCTGATGGAAAAAGGCTCTGGGGGCTTGGGAAGACCCTTGCCAAGAAAGGGGATGGCAAATGGAATTCAAGGTGGTTCTGTGAAGTTTCAGTTGGAATGGCACTGCTGGGATATCCAAATTAAAGCACCTTGCCAGAATTTCAGCCAAGGGTTTAACTGGGAAAATCCAGCTGGGCCTGAAATCCCAGTGCTCTGGAGGGGTTTGGAGCTGTTCCTGGGGGTTCAGGGATTTGGGAGAGGTGGGATCCAGTCAGGGTCAGTCCAGGGGGGAGTGAGGGGCAGAGCAATGCCATGAGGTGTTCCCTGGATGACTCTCCAGAGTCCTTCATCCCACATTTATTTTGGGATCAGGTTTCTGGGATTTTCCTGGTGGCTGCTTCCCTTCTGGACATTCCTGTGCTAGCCCCAAACCCTGCCAGTGTTATTCCTGCAGATCCTGCTCATGGAAACAGCCCAGGATGCTCCTGCTCCCAAATTATTAGTGGTTGGATGGGGAAATTCCCAGGTGGGAATTCAGGAATTCCAGCCATTAATTACCCAAAGGAGCAAAATCCCCTCAGGGAGCCTCTGGATGACCAATGTCGTCCATGGAATGTGGGAAACCAGGACAAACCTGCCCCTGAGCAGTCCCAGCCCTGGACTTGGGAAGAATCATTGGGATATTTCCAGGAAGAGCCGAAGGGGGGATCTCACCACCTGGTCTTTGCTCCTCTCCTGTCACATTTTCCTGCAGGAGATTGGTGGAAAAAAGGGATTTGTACTCTGCAAACTTCCCTGGGTGTGCTCCGAGCTCAGGAAGAGCAGGAACCCTGCGGAGTGTGGAGGTGATTCCTTTAAGGAGGCTCGGGATGTTCCTGCCTGGAATAACAATGGAGACTCTGGGAAATGCAGGGAGGAGGGGAGGGAAAAGCTGAAAACAGAGTCAGCCATGGAGCACGTTCGTATGGATGTGTTCAGACACAGCCACGGGAACAGCGACTGCGGCTCCCAGAAATTCCGTCAGCTCAGGGATCATCACTGAGCTCTGGGAGAGGAGAAGGCAACAAAACCTTCAGAAAGGCCAAGGGCTGGGAGAAGAACCATCACAAGAATTCCCACCAGGATTGGATTGGATTGGGATTGGGCTCTTCCCACCCAAACAAACACAAAACAAGGATAATTATCCCTCTAAAAATTCCCGTTAATTGTCTCTAATTGCTGTCCTTGCTGCAGGCTCGGGGGAGGAGCAGGGAGAACAGCCCATGAATGTCCTTCACAGCTGGTGATTCCCGGGAATGATGAAGTGCTGCCTCTTGGAGCATCCCGTGGGACAGAGGAGACTCTGAATGCTGGAATGAAGGAGGAGTAGGGAGAGGTGCTTGGGTGACCTTGAGCAAGTGGAGGTGACTCCAAGAGCATTTCCTGGGTGTTTTCCTGCTTCTTGTGGGAACACAGCTGTGGGAGCTGGTCAGGGATGTGGTGGCTGGGCCATAAATCCTGGGAATGGGCTCTGCCCTGGGCTCCAGCCTTCTCCATGCCAAGCTGAGCTCTCCCATTCTCCAAAACGCAGCTGAACTTCAGAAATTCCTTCTCAGAGCAGGTTCTGCTCCTGCTTTTCCTCCTGCAGCATTCCCATGGGATTTTCCTCACTGTGCCAGCCCTGGGGCCCTGCTGCCCGCCAGGGATGCTCCAGTGCTCCAGAGCTCCAAGGGAGATTATCCCTTGGGATGGCAATTCCAGCTTTGTTTGATGGATTTGTGGTTGAGATTGAATTTCATGAGCTGCAGCTCAGCCAAACCCTCTGGTCAATCCCCCTCTGTATTTTCTCACCTTGTCCATAGGATTTTCATCTCCCGTGGGGATTCTTTTTTCAATTTTTCCATCAGGATTTTGGGGTTTTTGGGAGCTGATGGTTGGCTCCCATCCCTGCTCCCTGCTCCATCCCTGGGCAGATCCATCCAACACCAAACAGGTAGGATGGACCTACTAGTGCCTTTTCCACTCCTTTCTCTTTTCCTTGGAATGTGCTCCAAGGCAGCCTGGGGTTAATTACTGCAAATAATGGAGCTTCCCTTTTTCTGGGAAAATCCTGGGGCACTCAGCAGAGCTGGGGCTGCACTGGGAGTTTGAATTTTGGTTGTTTCTTCTTCTGAATCCTCAAATAATCCTCACAGTTTTTTCTGATCTTTATAATCTTTTTTTTGGAAAAGGAACCCTTAATCCTGATGAAGTTTGGAATAAAAAATTAAATCTCCTCCCACCCCTCTCCATCAGGGCTCAGGGCCCTTTTCCAGGCCCCTCAAACCCTCATCTCTCCCTGAGGGTGTTTTTCAAAATCCCCAGGTCTCTCCTAGTGCTGGAGATGTGGCAGAGCAGCCGCTCAGTGCCTGGATCCAGGGATGAAGCCACTGCCAACACATTTTGGGATGCACTTGGATGGAAATGGATTTTCTTGTTACACTCGGAGCCAGTTAAAGTGGATCAGTAAAGCAAAAGTTGGAATCCCCAGAATCCCAGACCAGTTTGGGTTGGAAGTAGCCTAAAGACCATTGAATTCTCATCCCTGTGCCATGGCAGGGACACCTCCCACTGTCCCAGGCTGCTCCCAGCCCTGTCCAGCCTTGGGCACTGCCAGGGATCCAGGGGCACCACAGCTGCTCTGGGCACCCTGTGCCAGGGCCTGCCCACCCTCACAGGGAACAATTCCCAATTCCCCATATCCCATCCATCACTGCCCCCTGGCAGTGGGAGCCATTCCCTGGGTCCTGTCCCTCCATCCCTTGTCCATGTTTTTTCCAGGCTCCCTTCAGGCACCGAAGGCCTCAATGAGGTCACCCCAAAGCTTCTCCTCTCCAGGCTGAACAATCCCAAAACGTCATGGAGAGGTTTCCAACACCTCTGTCAGCAAAGAGATTCCACAACATCCCAGAGATCCCAGCACATCCTGGTGATCCCCATCCCAGGGAAGGCAGGGATGCAGCTGAGCACGGCCATGGCACCACTCCCACCCATCCGGAGCTGTGTGAGGATGTGGTGGGGGAGGAAAAGGAGGGATAAGGGATCAGGGATGAGGGATAAGGGATAAGGGATGAGGAAGAGCCCTGGGAAGGCTTTCCCTGGGATCTGCTGGGAATGAGGGCAAGGCAGGAATGACACAGCCTGGCCATTTCCACAAGACCAGCTTTAATATCAGTCAGGAGAACGAGGAGAAAGCACAGAATCCATGAATGGGAGAAGAAGGAAATTGCAAAAATTCCCCCCAAAAATTAAAGAAATGATTGAAGCCAACCCCACCTGCTGCTCCCGGACTCTGCAGGCACTGCAGGAGGAGGAGCAGGGCTGGGATGATCCATAGGGATCCCTGTGGCTCCTCTCCAGGGATGCTCACCTTGGGCTGAGCTTGGGATTCAGCCCAACCTCACCCAGAGGACGCGACCGGGAGAAGAATCCGAGAGCGCCGACTTTGGGATCTCTTTTATTCTAAAACTCTCAGCCTACGGCGCTGGGAATGGAGAATTCTGGGATGCTCCTTCTGGCACTGAAACCCAGGGACTGCAAAGAGGAACAGAGCTGAGAGAGGCAGCTGAGGAATCCTGGGGCCAGGCAAAGCCCTGGCGTGCAGTGCTTGGGATATTTGGGATGCTTCCTTTGGGATTTGCTGCTGCTGCTGCTGCTGCTCAGGCCTGGACAATCCCAAAAAGTGTCCTGTCCCTCCATCCCGTGTGCCAAGTGCCTCTCCAGCTCTCCTGGAGCCCCTTTAGGCATTGGAAAGGGCTCTGAGGTTTCTCTTCTCTGAGCTTCCCTTTTCCAGGTGAACATTCCCAGCTCTCCCAGCCTGGCAGCTGCTTCCCAGGTTGGAGCCAAACCCCCAGGAGGAAAGGACAACAGGAGTCAGGTCCAAGGCGCCTCTCACTTTGGGCAGAGTATATTTAGAATTTATATTTTTATATTATTTTTATATTCTTTTAATGCATAGCGAGTTTTTCTTCTTCTTTTTTTTTTTTTTTTTTTTAATTTTTTAATAGATTTTTAAAATAATTTTTTTCAGTATTTTTTTCCCGGTATTTTTTTTTCCATCTTTTTTTATTTCCCCCCAGTGCAAACCTGAGCTGGGTCCCTGTTTTTCCCTGTGCAGTTTTCCTTCCTCGGGATGGGCACTGTGGTGGGGAGGGGTCAGCAGGCGATTTCCTCCAGCGTCCCCAGCGGGGCCTGCAGGGGCACGGTCACAGTGTGGCTCAGGCTCTCCGAGTGGTTTGGCACTGGATCACAGGTGCTCTGCCATGGAAAACCAGGGACAGCGTTACCCACAGCTGCTGCCTGCTCCCAGTGTGCAGGGACACAGCCTCAAACACAGCTCTGCTCCTTGTAATAGGACCTGAGAAAGGAGCTGAGGAAAAGGAGGTTCACTTTTTTGGTTGTCCTGGCTTGTAAGATAGGCATGTGTTCTATTTACCATCTGTTGGAGGTGGGGCAGTTTTCTTATCTCTTCCAAGAACAATGTCTCCCTCCGGGGAGATATCTTCTGTTAATGGGCCATTAATGACTCACTGCATGACTGGGAAAGTTACATCAGCCCACCGTGAGATGCTCCACCCAGAGGGAGGAGCCAAGCAGCCCTACCTGCATAAAATCAGCATTTTTGGCACACCAGAGCAGCCTCTTCACTGGATTCCCAGAGGAGCAGCTTCTTCCCCGCTGGATCCCCAGAGGAAGACCAGGCCAAACTACTCTATTACCAGACCATCAGAGGAAACTCCACCCTTCTACAGATCCCCGCTCCAGCAGCATTTATTCTGCCACTCCAGGAGGAACAGCCACCATTTAACTGGACTATTACCAACACCCTGACTCCTCAGGGTGTCAGGTTTCTGACTCTTCTATCAGTAGTTTTGTTTGTACTAATTACAATTTTTAATTGTTATTTTTATTTAGTTTTTTTCCTAGTAAAGAACTGTTATTCCCATTCCCATATCTTTGCCTGAGACCCTTTTAATTTTGAAATTGTGGTAATTTGGAGGGAGGGGGTTTATCTTTTCCATTTCACAGGAGGCTCTTGCCTTCCTTCACAGACTCATGTCTTTTCAAACCTAGACATCGGTAAAATTTAATATGAAAAGTTTAATAAAAAGATAGTAGAAGATAGAAATAAAGGGTTAAAAACGGTTGGGTATTTGGCATTTACCTAAGAGCACACTTATCTTCGGAGATACTTAAATATTTTTTCTATTATATCATCGTTGCTGTATATTCATAGATTTATGCATATTTATATTGTTCTATAAACTAGTTTACATTTTCTTGGAACTATTTTGTATGGTTCTTCTTTGGGTCTATTTTTTTAGAGTATGTGTGGTTTTTGGTTGTGGTTTTGGTTTATTCTCTTTATTACTTCTAGTTTGGGCTTTGGTTTTTATTTTCTGTAGACAGTAGATGCTGATGGTTGGTGTATCAATTGCAGGGTCTTCACTACATGTTCACTGGATGTTATCTTAACTAAACAGACAACTGTGATAGCTACTATTATTATATCTAAGTTTTGTTAAGAGTAGAAATAAAAGTAAAGTTATTTTAACACTATAGATATAATATTTGCGAAAACCAACAATATAAAATGCATTTCTAACAGGAGCCACAAGCACAGAAAGCTCCTTGGAGAGCTTTGGGCTGGAAGTCCAAGTGCTGGGATTGGACAAAGGGAAACAAACCATCCTTCAATGCCCTCAAACAGCCAAGGCTGAGGGGAGCAGTGCATGCACCAGAACGCAGCAGAGACTCCCCTGGCTGGGCTCGGGGCTGCAGAGCCTGAAATGGTTCATGCCTCACACGCTGACAGAGTCCTGCTCGCTGTAACACAACTGGATAAAGAAGGCACAGCCAAAGGAGCCTCCCTGAAGATGCCTGGCTGGGACTTTGGATTGTAAATGAAACCTAATTTAGATAAAGGGAAACCCATTCCTTAATCATCTCAGGCCCAGGCAAAATCAAACAAGGCTGAGGGAGAGGAATGCATCCAGCAGAAAGCCAGAGACAGCAGAGACCCTTCCCTGGCTGGGTTTGGGGAGACCAGAGCTCACAGGAGCCAGGCTGAGACCCCCAGTGAGGGGGAGGAGGTTTTGGGTGCACCCCCCTCACACAAACCAGCCCGATCCTGGAAGGCACATCCAGGGGACACCCACGTGAGGAGCAGCTCAGGGGGTGTCCCAGCCCTCAGAGACCCCTGGGTGCTCCCCAGAGTGGTTCCCGAGGCCTCGCACCGCCCGTGGTGCAGCAGACCTGGAGGCTGCGGAGGAGCCAGGGGCAAGTTCCAGCCCTGCCTGGGCTTCCCAGGCCGGAGCTGTACCAGCCCAGCAGATTCTGTGCTCCTGGGGGACTTCTGCCAGCCAGGCCAGCTGGGCAGGATCAGTGGGATCAATCACAGATGGTGATATTTTCCTTATTCTGTCTCTGTCCCTCTCTTTCTGCTCCCCCCACTTATTTTCCATTTCTTTCCTTGCTTTTTCTCTCTTTTCTCCCTCCCCCTCATATTTGCTATCCAATAAACCCCAGACTGTTGTCACTGGCATCTGGTCCCATTAACTGGGGCAGAGGCATCTCTAATTATAATTTCAATTTAACCTGACACACGTGGGAAGAGCTCCAGCGTGCCCAGGGCACCTCCCCTCCTCTCCTTACCACGTTCTCGTCATGGCTCCCGTCCTCTTCCTCTTTTCCAAGAAGGTCCAACAACTTCTCCTTGATCAGCTGCAAGAAGAGGGAGCCAGATTAGGGTGGGAAGAGGCTGCAGGGGGATGGGGAGCAATGGGGTGTGCAGGGTTTGGGGGTGCATTCCGAAGGCTGGGAGGAGGAGGATGCTCCAAGGGCTGTGCCATGGAGCCAGGCTGGGAGCTGAGGGTGTCACCTGGAGAGGAGAAGCTCCAGCGAGAGCTCAGAGCTCTGCCAGGCCCAAAGGGGCTCCAGGAGAGCTGGAGAGGGACTGGGGACAAGGGATGGAGGGACAGGACACGGGGAATGGCTCCCACTGCCAGGGGGCAGGGATGGATGGGAGATTGGGAATTGCAAATTGTTCCCTGGCAGGGTGGGCAGCCCTGGCACAGGTGCCCAGAGCAGCTGTGGTGCCCCTGGAGCCCTGGCAGTGCCCAAGGCCAGGCTGGACAGGGCTGGAGCAGCCTGGGACAGTGGGAGGTGTCCCTGCCATGGCAGGGCGTGGGAATTCAATGATCCTTAAGGTCCCTTCCATCCAAACCATTCCAGCGTTCTCTTACAAGGAATAAAACCCACAAAAATTCCATTTTTGGGACACTTTTGGGGTTCAGAGAAACTCTCAGCTCTGTGAGCTCCTTCCCAGCCCCCTCATTTTCCTGCTGCTGCAGGATTTGGCTTCCAGGGAAATCCCATAAAAATTGAAAAGTGTTTTACTGCAAAGCTCCTACTGGGAGAAAATACAAATAAAACCAACAAGAAGAAAGCTGAAATCCCCAAAAACTGGGTCAGTTCCTAAGGAATGTGGATCCTGGCTGGTGCAGGGAAGTGTGGTGGGAATTTGGGACCAGGAGGACAGAGCTCAGCAGAAGATCACAAAAAGGCTCCTTTATGGTCAATATTTCCCCCAAATTTGGCCAATCCATGAAAAAAAAAAACGTATCTTGTTGCTGTCATTGCCAGAATGTGTATAAATATTTTGGCCGAAGACTCAAATTTTTGAGCTGCTGACTCCCCCTTTGTGAAACTCTGAGCAGAGTGGAAAACTGTGTAGATCTTTTTGAAATTTAAGGTATTTTATTACTTTTTTCCCGTGGCTGGTGGGGGTTAAATATCTGGGATTGTGAGGATTCCCCTGCTGGGCATCCCCAGGGAGCTTCTCGGAGGGGACAAAATGAATTTTAAGCCCAAATATGAAGAAAAAAATAAAAAGAGCAGCAAAACACCCACATTTGACAAATTTTATCAGCAGATGTCAAAGAAAGGAGGAAAACAGAAATGAAAAACCCCAAATTTGTGAGGTTTCTTATGGCCTACTTAGGAAGAACCCCCAAGAAATTCAGGAAAAGACAAATTTAATTAAATATTTAGGTATCCAGGCCAAGCACTAAATTCAGGCTCGGCTTTTGTTGAGCTCTGAGCTTTAGGCCTGGAATTTTTCCATATTTTTCCATTTTTCCATTCCTGGTTAATGGCACCAATACTGGAGCTGCCCAGGAGGGATTGGGATAGGGGCAATTGTCTGAAAATATAAAATATAAAGTCAGCATCCCAAAAGAAAAAAAAAAAAAATTAGAGGATTTGAAGAAATCCTCTAATTCCCTTTCCCTGGAATGGGACATGTCCCCAGCGTGGATTGGGACACATTAAATCAAATGGACAAAAATAAATAAAATGGACAATTCTCACATCCCATGACAATAAAACAATAAAACTGCCTGAGCTGGGGCTGTGGGGGAGCTGGATGAGGCAGGTTGGAAATACAGGATTTTGGGGGGGGCTCTGGGACCCCCAGGAAACAGAAAATCCAGGGATGAGGGGCTCCAGGAATGGCAAATCCAGGGGTGAGGGGCACCAGGAATGGCAAATCCAGGGATGAGGGGCACCAGGAGAAGTAAATCCAGGGATGAGGAGCACCAGGGGGGGAAATCCAGGGATGAGGGGCACCAGGGGGGGAAATCCAGGGATGATGGGTACCAGGAGGGGCAAATCCAGGGATGAGGGGCACCAGGAATGGCAAATCCAGGGATGAGGGGCACCAGGGTGGGAAATCCAGGGGTGAGTGGCACCAGAAGGGGCAAATCCAGGGATGAGGGGCACCAGGAATGGCAAATCCAGGGATGAAGGGCACCAGGAGGAGTAAATCCAGGGATGAGGGGCACCAGGAGGGGCAAATCCAGGGATGAGGAGCATCAGGAATGGCAAATCCAGGGATGAGGGGCACCAGGGTGGAAAATCCAGGGATGAGGGTCTCCAGGAGGGGCAAATCCAGGGATGAGGGGCACCAGGAGGAGTAAATCCAGGGATGAGGGGCTCCAGGGTGGGAAATCCAGGGATGAGGGGCACCAGAAGGGGCAAATCCAGGGATGAGGAGCACCAGGAGGGGCAAATCCAGGGATGATGGGCACAAGGAATGGCAAATCCAGGGATGAGGGGCACCAGGAATGGCAAATCCAGGGATGAGGGGCACCAGGAATGGCAAATCCAGGGATGAAGGGCACCAGGAGGAGTAAATCCAGGGATGAGGGGCACCAGGAGGGGCAAATCCAGGGATGAGGGACACCAGAAGGGGCAAATCCAGGGATGAGGAGCACCAGGGTGGGAAATCCAGGGCTGAGGGGCACCAGGAGGGGCAAATTCAGGGATGAGGGGCACCAGGACGAGTAAATCCAGGGGTGAGGGGCACCAGGAATGGCAAATCCAGGGGTGAGGGGCACCAGGAATGGCAAATCCAGGGATGAGTGGCACCAGGAATGGCAAATCCAGGGGTGAGGGGCACCAGGAGGAGTAAATTCAGGGCTGAGGGGCTCCAGGGTGGGAAATCCAGGGACGAGGGGCACCAGGAATGGCAAATCCAGGGATGAGGGGCACCAGGGTGGGAAATCCAGGGATGAGGGGCACCAGGGTGGGAAATCCAGGGATGAGGGGCACCAGGAGGGGCAAATCCAGGGCTGAGGAGCACCAGGGTGGGAAATCCAGGGATGAGGAGCATCAGGAATGGCAAATCCAGGGCTGAGGCGCTCCAGGGTGGGAAATCCAGGGATGAGGAGCATCAGGAATGGCAAATCCAGGGGGTGGGGAGTCCCGGCCGGGGCTGGGCAGGCCTTACCTCGTACAGGTAATCGAAGAGCTCGAGGATGGTGAGGATGCTGGCCCCGATGAACAGCCCCATCTGGCCACCAATGTCACCTGCAGGGGACAGCACCGTGAGGGCTCCCAGGCACTGCTGGGCCCTGCCATCCTCAAAAACTGGGAGCAATTCCCCGGGAGCAGCAGGGGCTGCACGGCATCGGCAGCAGCCCCAAGGTTTTCCTGCCAATGGAGCCCGGAGCCCTCCAGGCTGCATCCCAGGAATCCCAATTCCTGCTCTGGGGAAGGTGCTGGGAACCATGAACGTCCCTGGAGCCAAGGAAAATCCCCAACCTGGCAAAAAGTGGGAAGGGATTCCCTTCCCTGGAGTGGGAGCTGTGCCCAGCCTGGGCTGGGGCACGTGAAATCAGCAGCCATGGACAATAAAACTCCCTGCTCCCCCCTGGCTGCCCGAGGCTTTTTGGGAAGCATCTCCTGCCTTCTGCTTGAGTGTCCCGGGCTGGAGGAGGAACCTGAGGAGAGGAGATTCCCAGGAACCTGCTGGGAAGGTGACTGGGATGTGGTGCTCAGGGAAGGCGAATCCCATGAATTTTGCTGGAAAACAACCCTGGATTGACCCCCAGAGCAAAGGCACCCATGGGTGGGGAGGGAGGGGCCTTTTCCAGGGGTGTCCATGAGACACGGAGAGAGGAAAGTGGGGAGAAGTTTGGGATCAAGGTGAGCACCCTGAATGATCCCAGCGGGTGCTCTGGGTTTACACCAGGGGGAATCACCTGGAGGCTTTGAGCCCGGAAAAAGGATTCTGGGCTGAGGCTCTTCCTGAGCCTTGGGAATGAGGGTCCTATGAGGTACAAATGAGGTTTGGGTCAGAGAGGCTCCAGCAGCCTCCTCTTCCTGCCTGGAATTCCTGGAAAAGCCCCAGGAGGTGCAGAAGGGCTCCTGAGGGGGCACTTGGCAGGGGACATGGGGACACCTCCGTGCCCAGGGGTGACCCAGCTCCAGCTTCCCAAGGTTTGAGCACTCCCAGTGTTCCAGAGGGATCAGGGATTTGGGGTGGCTCAGGCAGGCTGCAGGGCTGGGGGAGGGCTCACCCCCACCCCAAACCCAACGAGGCAAACCCCAAATCCGCAGCTGGGACCCCAAAGGTGGAGCTGATTTGGGGCTGAGCAGCACAGGATCCCCTGCAGCTCTTCCACGGCATCCAAAGGCCAAGGGCCCAGGCCTGGCTGGAAAAGGTGGATTTGGAGCAGGAAAGAGGTGATGGGGAGATGGTTTTGGGATGTCCCCCCCATCCTGCACCCCAGAGAGCACCAGCACCCACCCAACCCCAAATCTCCAAACACGGGGAGCTGGAAGCAAGCAGGGATGGAGCAGCTCCAGAACCTTCCATGGGTCTCCTCCACCTCCTGCTGGAAAGGATGGATTTGGAGCAGGGAGGAGGTGAGGGAGAGGTGATTTTGGGACGTCCTCCACACACTGCCCAGGAGGCAACACAGAGAGCACCCAGCCCCAAAATCTCCAAAAATGGGAGCAGACAGTGATGGAGCAGAACCTGCTGTGGGTCTCTTTCAGTTCCTTCCTGAGCCATCCAAAGGCCAGGATCTCAGGCCCAGCTGGAAAGGACGGATTTGGAGCAGGGAAGAGGTGCTGTGAGATGGTTTTGGGATGTTCTCCCCCACACAATGCCCAGGGGAGCAGAATCTCCAAAAACTGTGGTGCTGGGAGCAGGCAGGGATGGAGCAGAACCTTCTGTGGGTCTCCCCCTCCTCCTCCTCCTCCTCCTCCTCCATGAAGCAGCTGGAGGCCAAGAGCTCAAGCCTAGCTCGAAAACTTGGATTTGGAACAGGGAAGAGGTGATGGGGAGATGGTTTTGGGATGCCCTCCACACCCTGCACCACGGAGGGCACCCAGTGCCCACCCAGCCCCAGAATCGCCAAGAAAAGGGCTCAGCAGGGATGGAGCAGCTCCAGAACCGTCCATGAACACACAGAGTATCCATGGGGACATCCCTGGGGTGCCGTGGTGGGGTGAGGAGAGCAGACATGGGGCCTTGATGGGGGTTTCAGGGCTGTGGACCCCTCCCAGCCTCTCTCCGTCCCTCCCAGACCAGCAGAGACCCCAGACTGGTCCCAGTCCCCCCTTACCAAGTAAGGCTGCCACTTCATAGGCTTTCTTCTGCTCAATGGTCTCATAGTTGAGTGCTTCAAAAAAAATGTCCAGCACGAGAATATTCTCTCTGTGGGAACAGGAAAAACATCAGCCCAGGAGTCACTGGTGGACCAATGCTTTGGGATAAGGGGAAAACGGGGCTCTGGGGCTTTATTCCCCTTTGTATGGATTGTTCCTCTCTCTGGGGTCCTCAGATCCCACAGAACTTGGAGCTGGTGCAGACCAGGAGCTCAGGGCACGCTGAGGGCTCTGGGAGCCTTTGGAGCAGCTGGGAAAGGTTTCCCTGTGGGTCTCAGATTCAATCAAAGAGAGAAACTGAGAGTTTCTAGCCAGGCAGAAGCCTGGGAAAGAGCTGGAGAAGAATGTAAATAATTCTTTATCTCTCTTGTTGTTCACATTGTTTATAGTTAAGTTCTATCACTGTGCATCAAGCACTCTGCACCAATGCTGTGGATTGTTTTCACTTCAGGAGCAATGGAATTGATCCTCATGAAGCTCTGTATAAAACAGCAGTGTATTTTGAATAAATCTGAGTTTTACTCTCAGCAGCTTCTGATCAGAGTCTTCTCATTCCCGTCCTGCCTGGACAGCGACATTTCCCCAGAACTCCTCAGGATCCCAGATCTCACTGTGCTGGGAACGCTGTTCCTGGTTGTGAGGGCAGGGAGTCCCTGGCACAGGGTGCCCAGAGCAGCTGTGGTGCCCCTGGAGCCCTGGCAGTGCCCAAGGCCAGGCTGGACAGGGCTGGAGCAGCCTGGGACAGCGGGAGGTGTCCCTGCCATGGCAGGGGTGGCACTGGGGGGGTTTAAGGACCCTTCCCACCCAGACCATTCCATGATTCTGTGATTCTGTGACGAGAATCCGAAGGATCTGGAAGAACTCTCACTTCCCACACACAGCAATCACATGCCCAGGGCTGGGAGAGCTCCACGGCCTGAGGAGCTCAGCCCAGAGATACAAACCTCCAACAGGACCAGCAAAGTGGGAAATCTTGCACTTTTTTTTGGTGGGAGTGGAGGATTCCCATGAGGATAATCCTTGGGAAGGAACTCAGAGAAGAAATCTACTGAGAAGAAACAACCTCATCTCTCCCAGGTTTTCACTCTGCTCTTCCCTGGAGGACATCCCTGTGCTGGGCATGGACTGGCCAGGACTGGGCCCTTTCCAGACATTTCCCTCCCAAAAACTAAAGGAATTCAGGTCCTCCCCCACTCACGAGATGTATTTTTCCGACTTGTTGAACTTCTTCTCCAGGTACTTGGCCGAGGTCTTGCTGGGGATCTTGACCATGGAGAGCTCCTTGTTGTACCTGGTGAGGTTACAGGGGGTCCTGCAGATGCAGTAATTGCTGTCCTTCTCTGCCAGGAGACCTGCAGGGGGGCAGGCATGGAGCACACGGGAGCCCACGGAGCAGGGACACGGAGCAGGGCAGGAACAGAGATTCTCCCTCCCAGAAAGGGGCCCAGGGGCCACTCTGGACATTTCTCTCCCAGTTCATCCCAGTTCTCACCACCTTGGAGGGGCCTCTTGCTGGAGGCAACGCTGTCATCAACAACAGCTTGGAGAACTCATGGCTGAGTCTCCTGAATACAGACGTGGAATGGGTCCCTCCATCCCAACCCCAACCCCAGGGGGGCTCCTGGGGCTCCCCTGATCCCGAGGGTTTCTGTGCCCATGGAGAACCAGGAGAAACTTCATCCCAGTATGCATCCAGCACTTCCCAGCAAGCTGGGGCTAATCCCACCCCCCCTCCAGGCTGCAGATCCCCTGCTCCTGCCAGCCAGGAGCATCCAGGCCGCTGGAATTCCATGAGCCTCCCATGAACCGTCCATTCCCCGGGTCAGGGATCCCCGGTACTCACTGAGCGCGGGCTCTGCGCACTCCTTGTACTGCTCCGGGGTGCAGAAGGGAGCGTCCCCTGCAGGGACAGGACAAAGCCATCACAGGGGACACCAGGCTCTCGCTGGGGACCCCCCTGCAGCCCCCAGCTCTGCCTGCCACAGGGGCCTTCTCCTGCAGGAGCTGCTGGAGCAGCACCCAGGGAGGCCCTGGAGCTAAGGAAGGTGGGACTCGATGGTCCCACAACTCTTTTCCAATCTTAATCAGACCCAGGTCTCTCTTCCATGGCTTGCCCCTATTTCACAGGGAATCCTGGAATATCCTGGGCTGGAAAGACACCCCCAGGACCACCCAGTCCTACCCCTGGCACTGCCCAGACCCCCCAGCATCCCACCCTGGGCACCCCTGGCAGCGCTGTCCAAACCCTCCTGGAGCTCTGGCAGCCTCGGGGCTGTGCCCATTCCCTGGGGAGCCTGGGCAGTGCCAGCACCTCTGGGGGAAGGACCTTTCCCTGAGCTCCATCCCAAACCCCCTGTGACACAAGCTCAGGCCATTCCCTGGCTCCTGTCCCTGTCACAGGGAGCAGAGATGGGAGCTGCCCCTTCTGTGCCCCTCCTGAGGACACTGAGCTCACTGAGCTCTGCCCTCAGCCCCCTCTGCTCCAGCTGAACATTGCAAGTGCCCTCAGCTGCTCCTCCAGACCCTTCCCCATCCTCATGCCCCTCCTTTGGACCCTCTTGAGTCCTCTGATGTATTTTTTATTTTGTGGTGCCCAAAACTGCCCCAGAACTCTCGGTGAGGCTGCCCCAACCCAGAGCAGGGCTGGACAATCCCCCCTGTCCCTCTGCTGTCCCTGCTCCCCCAGGACAGGTATGGCCCTGCTGCCTCAGACCCAGCCTTTCCCAAAGGCCACGGGCACCTTCTTCCCTCAGGTACCCCCAGTCCCTCCAGCCCAGCCCCAGGTGTCCCCTGGTGTCCCTGTCCCTGACCTGGCACATGGACTGTCCCTCCAGTCTATCCCCCAGGTGTCCCATGGTGTCCCCTGTCCCTGACTTGTCATGTGGACCATCCCTCCATCCCATGCCCAGGCATCCCTGCTGTCCCCAGGTGTCCCTGTCCCTGACCTGACATCTCCCTCCAGCCCATGGTCAGGTGTCCCTGCTGTCCCCCTGTCCTCCAGTGCCTGACCTGGCACGTGAATTGTCCCTCTAGCCCATGGCCAGGTGTCCCTGTCTGTCCCTCCAGGCCATGGCCAGGTGTCCCTCCAGCCCATGGCCAGGTGTCCCTGTCCCTGTCTGTCCCCCCAGCCCGTGCCCAGGTGTCCCTCCAGGCCATGCCCAGTGTCCCTGTCCCTGTCCCTGGCTGTCCCTGTCCCTGTCCCTGTCTGTCCCTCCAGCCCATGCCCACTGTCCCTGTCCCTGCTGTCCCCCAGCCCGTGCCCAGTGTCCCTGCCCCTGTCTGTCCCTGTCCCTGCCCCTGTCTGTCCCTGTCCCTGGCTGTCCCCCCAGCCCATGCCCACTGTCCCTGTCCCTGTCTGTCCCCCCAGCCCATGCCCACTGTCCCTGTCCCTGCTGTGCCCCAGCCCGTGCCGTGTCCCTGTCCCTGACCTGGCATGTGCACCATCCTGCAGTTGCAGTTCTCCACGATGTAGCGGGTCTCGCAGTCGATCCTGCAGGCCGTGACGCTGTACACCGGGAAAAACGCCAGCCCCAGCTCCGGGGAGCGGCACTCGCCCCACGGCGGGGGCAGGTACGTCAGCTGGGGACAGGGACGGGACAGGGTCAGCTGGGGACAGCGATGGGGACAGGGACATCAGCTGGGGACAGGGACGGGACACGGTCAGCTGGGGACAGGGACAGGGTCAGCTGGGGACAGCGATGGGGACAGGACATCAGCTGGGGACAGGGATGGGACAGGGACAGCTGGGGACAGGGACAGGGTCAGCTGGGGACAGGGACAGGGACAGCTGGGGACAGGGACAGGGACAGCTGGGGACAGGGACGGGACAGGGTCAGCTGGGGACAGGGACATCAGCGGGGGACAGCGATGGGGACAGGGACATCAGTTGGGGACAGGGACAGGACAGGGTCAGCTGGGGACAGCAATGGGGACAGGGTCAGCTGGGGACAGAGACAAGACAGGGTCAGCTGGGGACAGGGACAGGACAGGGTCAGCTGGGGACAGCAATGGGGACAGGGACATGAACTGGGGACAGGAATGTCAGCTGGGGACAGGGACAGGGACATGAACTGGGGACAGGGCTGTCAACTGGGAACCGGGACAGGGACATCAGCTAGGGGACAGGGACGGGACAGGACATCAGCTGGGGACAGGGAGAGACAGCACAGGGTCAGCTGGGGACAGGAACAGGGACATTATCTGAGGACAGGGACAGGGGCAGGGGCAGGTACATCACAGGGATGGGGACAGGGCCATGAGGTGCAGGACAGGGCCAGGGCAGGACATGTCCCCTGTCACAAGGCAGCCCCTGCAGTCCCTCAGGGCATCCCCCCTCCAGGAGCTCCCCGATTCCTGGGATAACTCACTGGGACAAGCTGTCCCAGTGCTCCCAGGTGACAATGAACGTCCTGGAGGTGACACTCCCAGGTGACAATGACCATCTCGGGAGTGGGAGCACCGGTGGAGGGATCAGCTGGAATTTCTGCCTGGCAGACTCCACTTTACAAACTGAAAAAGCTCCACCAAACTCTCCCCAGGCAGGAAGATGGATGGATGGATGGATGGATGGATGATGGAAGGATGGATGATGGATGATGGATGATGGATGGATGGATGGATGGATGATGGATGATGGATGATGGATGGATGATGGATGATGGATGATGGATGGATGGATGGATGGATGATGGATGGATGGATGGATGGATGATGGATGGATGGATGGATGGATGGATGGATGGATGGATGATGGATGGATAGATGATGGATGATGGATGGATGGATGGAGGGATGGATGATGGATGGATGATGGATGGATGGATGATGGATGGATGATGGATGGATGGATGGATGGATGATGGATGGATGATGGATGATGGATAGATGGATGGATGGATGGATGGATGGATGATGGATGGATGGATGATGGATGGATGGATGGATGATGGATGGATGGATGGATGGATGATGGATGGATGGATGGATGGATGATGGATGGATGGATGGATGGATGATGGATGGATGATGGATGGATGATGGATGGATGATGGATGGATGATGGATGGATGATGGATGGATGATGGATGGATGGATGATGGATGGATGGATGGATGATGGATGGATGATGGATGGATGATGGAGGGATGATGGATGGATGGATGGATGATGGATGGATGGATGGATGGATGGATGGATGGATGGATGATGGATGGATGGATGATGGATGGATGGATGGATGGATGGATGGATGGATGGATGGATGGAGGGAGCACTGTCAGCCGTCAGCCTCGGGGAGTATTAATGGGAGAGACTTCACTGGGTCTGATCCTGCTCCTGCAGCCCCTCCACATCCTCCTCCTCCTCCTCCTGAGGTGGTCCTGAGGGAATCAATCCCTTTCCTTTCTTCCAGATTATCCCAGTATGGGGTTTGTGGGAGGGATCTGGGCTGGATCAGCCCCAGGATGTGGAGCTGCTCCCTCACCCTCCCCTGCTGCCCCAAAGTGGGAACAAACCACGGCACAGCTGCAGGAAAAGCAGGGGAAAGGCAGCAGGAGCATCCTGCCCTCGGATCCTGCAGGATTTGTGCTCCCTGGCAGCTTCCCGAGGGCTCCTCCTCCTGCTCCTGCGTGGAGAAATCCGTCTCCAGCCTCTAATTGAGGGTGACAAACTCCCAGCCTGGCCCTTTCGCAGTAATTAATAATTAATTTATGAATTAACCGCTTTTCCAGCCCTCCTGATCCCGGCTTTCTCCAGGATTACCAGGATCAGTTCCCAGCTGGCAGGTGCTAACAGGGGAAGAAAAAAATTGATTTGACTCCTTCGAAGCTGGATGGATTCTGCTTGTTCTAAATGCCAGTAAAAGAGGGGATGAGCTTGGGAAACCTGGAGGGATGTGATCCCCGGGGCAGGGGGGGAGCAGCTCCTGCCAAAGCCTTTCCCTGGCCACATTCCTGCCTTTCCACACTGCTCCTGGCACGGAGCCTCCCAGGAGCTGCAGCATCTGCCCGCAGCCACAGAGGTCACTCCTTCAGTTAATTGGAAGTGCTATCCGTGTTTTTCCTGCCTGTTTCATTTTCTCAAACAGGGAAATGTGGTGGAGATTATCCCAGCAGAGGTCGGAGCAGTTTAATAAAATCCTGGATGGAGGGATCTCACCAGGACCGAGTCCCACCCCTGTTCCTGCCCAGGATCCCAGCAATCCCCAGGATCCCAGCAATTCTCCAGGATCCAAACAATCCCCCAGGATCCCAGCAATCCCCCAGGATCCCAGCATTCCCCCAGGATCCCAGCATTCCCCCAGGATTCCAGGAATCCCCCAGGATCGCTGCAATCCCACCCTGGGCACCCCTGGCAGTGCTGTCCAAACCCTCCTGGAGCTCTGGCAGCCTCGGGGCTGTGCCCATTCCCTGGGCAGTGCCAGCACCTCTGGAGGAGAGCCTTTCCCTGCTCCATTCCCCTCTGGCTCTGGGACGGATCCAGCACCAGTTCCTGCCCAGACTCTCTCATGTGGCTGATGGCACCAAACTCCATCAATCCCAAGGAGGGACCCAAACCCTCTCTGAACATCCCCACCCAGGCTGGGCTCCCAGTGAAACCAGAGCCCTCCGTTCTTTAAGGGGACCTCCAACAGCAGCAGCTTCTTGGAATTTCCATCCCAGGCAGCTCCAGCCCTTGTGGAATGCTGAAAATCCCAGAGTAGTCACAGCTGGCTGATCCCAGCTCCCAGTTAATGGTGCTGGAATTGTCTGTTTGCATCTCCAGCTCCTTTCCCATCCTGCCTGTTCCTTCCCGAGGAATTGGTTTTCAGGGATGAATTTGACCCTTCCAGCCCCTGGGAGCTCCTTTGGAGCAGAGCTCGGGGGTGTTATGGGGAAAATGGGATTTTGGAGCTCCAGGATCCTTCTTTGCAAACCCAACAGGAAGAGCAGCACTGAAACCTCCTGGAGATCCACCCAAAGTCCGGGGCAGTCCCTCCAGAGCCTCATCCCACGTTTGCTCCCACTCCTGCTCCCCCTGGATGAGCTGGGCCTGTGGCTCAGGTGCAAAATCAGCCTCAAATCCCCAGTAACGTGGAGTTATAGAATTCTAAGGGTTGGAAAAGCCCTCTGAGACTGAGTCCCGCTGTTCCCTCTAGGGAACTGCCCCACGTCCCCCAGGGTCACATCCACACGGATGAAATCCCTCAGGGATGGGGATTCCTCCCAGACCATCCTGCCTGCATTTGTTGGACTCAATTCCCAAACTTGGCAGAGGTGCCCGGTTTGGGGGGTGGGGGGAATTGGACTCTGAAGTTTTCCTGTCCTCACTTTTCCACCTTTTCATAAAATCCTCTTTTTCACAGGGTGCAGGGGAGAGCAGGAAACCCAAACCATTCCCTCATCCTTGGATCCAATGGCTCTTCCTGACCTCCCTTCCCACCCTCTGCCTCTTCCAGGCTCTGCCTCATCTCCATCCCTTCCCTCCAAACCCATTTTCCTTTGCATCCATTCCCAATTCCCTCCCAACCCTGTTTTCCAAACAAAACCCCTCTCCTGTCCTACAAATTCAAAGTTTTCTTCCATCTCCTGCTTCCAACTGCTCCTGCCCCATTAAGGTTCTGTGGGATTGGTTTTATGGGATCTCCTTGTTGAATTAATTCAGAATTTAAGGATAAATTGGAGGGAATCCACTGGGAGTTTGTGGGATTGAGGGGAACAAAGAAATCAGGAGGTGAACTTTTTCCCAGGAGGGGTCAGACCATGGGTGGCAGAAAATGCTTGGAGCAAGGGTGAGGAAATGTGAATCCATGGAATTATGGAATGGTTTGGGCTGGCAGGGACATGAAAACTCATCCAATTCCAACCCCAGGGACACCTCCCACTGTCTCAAAGTGTTCCAAGCCCTCTCCAACCTGGCCTGGGACAATTCCAGGGATCCCAGGTGCAGCCACAGCCTCTCTGGGAAATCCATTCCAGGGCCTGCCCACCCTCCCAGCCAGGAATTCCTTCCCAGTGTCCCATCCATCCCTGCGGTGGGAGGGACAGGGACAGGGCAGGGATGGATGGACACTGGGACGGAATTCCCTGGACACACATTCCCTGTGTCTTGGCACCCCATCCCTTGTAAAATGACACCTCAAACATGGGAAATGTTCTTTAATTCCTCCTAATTCCCAAATCCCAGTGCTTCCATCCTGACTGGGAATCACAGCCAGGCCTGAATCCCATTTTCCTGCCTCTTGAATCCCACTCTGGATCTGCAGCTCTGTACTTCTGCTCTCTATCCCATAAAACCTTTGGAGGGGATGAGTCTCCAGAGCCCCATCAAACAACAGCTTAGAACCCAGGGCTTCACTGAGGCCTCTGGAATTTTTATGGCCAATTTGGCAGGAATTGCCCTTTTCCAGGTGCTTTCCATCTTCCCTGGATGCCCTGTGCAGCTCTGTTGGGAAGTCTGACCCCATTCCTGATGGAAGAGGTTTGGGTGATGCTGAGATGCTGCAAAAACCAGCCTGGAAAAGGGGAAGGAAAGAGGAATTTCTCTTTCTCCATGGGATCAGCCCTTCAAATTTGGATTTTCGTGTATCCATCCAAGCCTTGGTGCCATGGTCAGGGAAAAGGGGAATAAGGCAGGGATAGTGCAGCTTCCCAAGGTCTGGAGGGGAGATTCCAACACCAGGCTCACCCAAAAGTGCCGGGAAAGGGGAAAATGGAAGGGGATCCATCCAAAGCTGGGAGGGGTGGGAGCTGAAGGGCAATTCCCAGTTCCAGGGGGTCCTGGCCTCCTTGGGATCCCTCTGGTGGGATGGATCCTTCCCTGTGCCAGGTCCTGCCAGCTCCTGATCATGAGCAGACAAACCTCATCCATCCACTCGGGAACTGCCATGGAAACAATCAGGGAGATCCTGGAGCAGCCCTGGGGAGGCACAGGGAGCCCCAGCTGGGATGGGACTGTGGGGGTTCATCCCATGGGAAATGGGGTGAAAGCCCCAGGGCAGCAGCTCCATGGGAACCTCTCCAGCTCCTTTCCCTCTGCACTCGGGCATGGAGGGGATCCAGGGAGGATTTTCCATCCAGACCCTCCTGTTCTCATTCCAGCCATCCATCATGTCCTGGCTCCTGCTTCCCTCAGGGAGCTCAGCCCTGGCTGCTCTGACCTTCAGGGATTGCTCCAGTCTGGGATTTCATGGAATCCTGGAATGGTTTAGGTTGGAAGGACCTCAGAGCCCACCCAGTGCCACTCCTGCCATGGCAGGGACACCTCCCACTGTCCCAGGCTGCTCCAGCCCTGTCCAGCCTGGCCTTGGGCACTGCCAGGGCTCCAGGGGCACCACAGCTGCTCTGGGCACCCTGTGCCAGGGACTCCCTGCCCTCACAGGGAGCAATTCCCAATTCCCAGTATCCCATCCATCCCTGCCCTCTGGCAGTGGGAGCCATTCCCTGTCCCTCCAGCCCTTGGAAATATTCCCTCTCCATTTTTCCTGCTCCTCTTCAGGTCCTGGAAGGTCCCAGTCTGGTCACCCCTGGTGTTTCCTCCAGGATGAACAATCCCGTGGTTTTTTAACCAGGAAACATCTCCCTTGGCCCTTGGCCAGAAGCAGCTTGGCCTCTTTAACCCATCCACCACATTTTATGGACAAACCTCCCGCCGGAATTGCTTTCTCAGGAGTTTTTGTTGCTGACTCAGCATTTCCAGCCTGACACTGCCAGGTCCCTCCCAAGGTCACTCCTGCATTAACTCCCAAGGTGGGAAATGAATCCCAAAAGTGTCTCCTTGCAGGAACCACGGGCCTCAGCCACTGCAGGAGGAGGAGCAGAGCTGATTTAATTCCCATTTTTCCAGCCTGAGAGCTCATTGTGAAGGGAGATTCAATGACATCCCAACCACGGAGCAGAGCTGGCTCCGGACAGGGGGATTTTGGAAAGCTCTGGGTGGAAAGCCAGGATTTATGCCCTGGTCCAGGATGTGAATCCTCAGTGGTGCTGAGCAGCTGCAGCCCTGGGAAGGCAGAAAATCAGGAGCAAAGCCCAGGGAATGCTCTGATTTCCAGAGTGGGATGGGGAAAGAAGGGAGGGAATTGAGCAGGGCCACAGGGAATGAATCCAGAGACAGGAAATGACCCCTCACAACCCAAATTCTGTCCCACAGAGGGTCCACAGCTCCCATCATCCCAAATCTTCCTCACTCCACACTATTTATCCCTGGAGAAAGAGATTTTAACTCCCTGAGGCTGCTCTGAGCTGGAAGATGGGAAATCAGTTCCACTTTTTCTTTATTCCTGTTTTTTCCAGCTGCAGGATATTTAATTTATGGCCCAGAATGTAAAACTCTGGGTTCAGGACCCCAATAACTGCCTGGGCTCAGTCCCTGGGGGATTTTACTGGAGCTGTTCCACCTTTGGCTCTGGTTTATTAAAGGAGCAGCACAGGCAGACAGATTTAGTTGGAAAAACCCAGACTAAATCAGGGATTGGGATAAAAGCTGCACATCGGGAAGGTGGGGGGAACACAGAAGGTCCCCAAGGACTAATAATTAATTAGAAGAAGCTATTAATGGCTGTAATTAGGTTAAAAATTTCTTTCTGGGAAGAAGGACTGGGGTGGGAGCTGAATGCTGGAGATTGTTCCACCTCTCCTGAGGAAAGGCTTTGGAGCCCTCAGATGATTTTAAACGGGTCAGAAAATCCCAGGATTGAGCCCTTCCCTCTCCCATCAGCAAAACTCTGGCA